ACGAGGCCGAAATCCTCGCAAGAGGTGACAGCCACGTGAGCCGCGAGCTGCTAGAGTCATGGTTCTCAGGCGCCCAGTTCATCAACAAGCGCAACTATTTGGCGTTCCCATATGGTTTACTGGGAAATTTCCTGAGCAAGAGAATCAGTCACGTGGGAAGGGCCGGATGCAGCAACAACTCTGACGACAGCGGGCATAATTGTCGTGCAATTATCAAGCTCGCATCCGACGCGGACAAGGACATTATGGCAATTAATGAGCCATCACCTCACAAATTAAGACCTCAAGCGGTGGTCACAGGAATTGACGATTATAGTACGCACGCGACGACCGCTACGAACTATAAATAACATGCAATCTGTGCATGTATCACACTTATCTGCGCATGTCTCAGACTTTTCTATGCGAACGTATGATTAAGGATTTCCGATGGAATCCGAAACGTCAGGACAATAATCTGCTCATGTCTCAGAAAATAAAACTCTTATTCTAGTGGTCGCTTCTTCTTCTGAACTGCTTCCTGGAACTCGCATATTCAACTCTATTGGCAATGATCTGTGTGCTCCTTCAAGATTGCCACAGGAGGCTGCGCAAACATCGTCAGAGAGTTGATCAAGACAATACCAGGTGCTGTGAGTTAATGGGCGAGGACGCGGCAGACCACAGTTTCAGCAGGGGTAACCGAACGAGCCCGCAAACGGAAGGCAAAACGCGGCGCAGCACTGGAGAAAAAATGTAAGAAGCTGAATAACCCAAAGTCACCCAGAAACGGCATACTGCTAAACAATCTATTGTTGAAAGAACTGACTTAGAAGCAAATACAGATTTAACGCCACGATGCCTCATTCCACACAGCCGATGCCAAACCTGCCAACCTGATTGCAGCTATGGAGTAGGTTATTAATCAGACGGAGGCAACGGAAGAGATGAAGATCCCTATTAGACATCAGGCATTTTCCATCCTTATGGTTTAGCAGCCACGCGAAATACTCCCTGAGGTCAAACGCAATGCATTAGGAGTACTTAAGGCCGACCGAGACATCGTAATCGTGCCAGCCGCCAAGGGGCATTCCATCATCGAATTGAACCGAACGAACTACCATCAGAAGGTGAAAAACTTACTCCGGGCTCGCCATTTGTGTGTCTCATGCAAAAAACTCGTTTATAAGGCTGACATGGGAAATTAATGCAACTCTATTGACATTAGACACTTCAGGTACAATAACTTCGTCTGACCAACGCATGGCAGGAGCGCCAAAACGGCCTTGGCCCGCTTCTATGGTCTCCCCAAGATGCATAGGAGGGCACTCGTCTCCGACTCATCATCTCCCTAAAAGGCATCCTAACGTATGAATAGGCAAAGTGGCTGTTTTAGCGTCTCAAATTTCTGACCACAGTCTGTTCGTTAACAGTTCTTGGAGAAATTTAAAAAGGGTAAGTCTCCTGCTAGATAATGTCATGGTATCTTTCAGTGTCACGTCCCTATACAATCCTATTCCCCAGGATTTGGTAGTCAATAATGTCGAACTGCGAACTACGAAGCAAATACGATGAAACGGAAAATGGCCTCGGACACGCCCAAAGCCCGCAGTTCCTGAAGTCCTGTCTCAAGATGTATTTCAAATGTGGAATACCATGGTCTCATTGTGATTTTAATCCACGGCGGCAAGAGAAAGACTTCAGTATAGTTAACATTCCAATCACCTGAGTGACAAGAACGCACCAGAAACAGGGAAATTGATCACACTTTGTTCACTATACCTGCCCAGCCTATTGTAACGTATGGAATTGACCAAATCCAATACGTTAAACTGACTGCCCAAGCAGGATTTCGTAAGCAATCGATCTAGAATCCAGCAACTGAATGCCAAGCGCACTTAAGTACTATGGGTTTTGGCAGATTTGAATAAGTCAATTGACATACTTGGGAAAAAGTCGGCAACTGAAGCTTTTTTCTTGTTGCTGAAGATACTAATCCTAACGAAACCGCCTATTATTTCACAATTAGGTCAAATGAATTACTGTCTTTGCTAATGCTGGCAATAAGGATGTTTTTTGTGAGATGCACGCCGTTGCTGACGACTAGAAGAAGAAGAAGAAGACGACGACGACGACGAAGAAAGAGAAAGGTTTCGTAAAAGAAGAAGCAAGAGAAAAGGGCAATAAGGACATTAAGAAGACGAAGAAGACAAATAAGACAAATACGATGGCAACACATTAAACACGATGCAGTGATAGCTTACGAAGGAATATGCAGGCAGGTTGCATCGAGATACGCTCTTACTTTTCCCCTTCCCGGAATGTGACGGTTGAGCCACTAGTGAAATAGTCCGTAGACTTACAGAAGAGGCCAAATATAGTGCACGCTTGAAGCCTCCGTCACCACAGGCGCTGAGGAGAGAAGATTCAGCGCACTTCATTTGATCGCAATACTTCATGATGACCTCTGACTCAGCCATTGTTGCGCCTCAGTATAGCAGCAGTGGAACCTTTCCGACCGGATGCATTTTCAGATAGCAGCTGGGCATGGATGTGAGATCGATTAATATGCGGTCGTACCTGCGAGGGAACAATACCTCTTGCTACAATTAAGCATGAATATTTTTTATCAGATAAAGCAATTATTTTTGACGTTAACCATATGGATTACAAGGGGACTAGCACAATGTTTGTAAGAGGATTTTGAGACAAATTCGTTAACAAAACATATATTTAAGATCAATTTCTGTACTTCCGGCCCTTTTGAGTATGAAAAAAGATTTTACCAGGGAGAATATGATAAGGATGGCTAATATGGCCCCATAGACAGGACAGGATAAATAATCCCGCATCTAAGTCCTAACATTAAGCCTACGATAAGTGTACAGCGTAAACCTTATCATAAACCTAAACATAACCCTCTGACACTGCCTTTAGCACGAAATCTAACATTAACCATAGCCATACATATTAACCTAGTTTA